CTGAGAACAAAGCACTTCCTCTCAACAGCAAACTGTACTTAAGCAAGAAGCGACAAATGTGAGGCTGCAGTTTGGTAGTGGCAGGTTGTGGTTAAACAGCCTTTTAAGATGTATCACCGTCCTGTGTGCCACACCTATGGGACTGAAAGCGGCTTAAAATGCTTTGCACTGAGAGTGATGCTGCAGGAGTTATTAGTGCGAACGAAACAGCAAAACAAACCGTGCTTTTTTGTATATTAAATTGTTTAAATGTAACGATTTAAAACAACCTCTCTCTATAGGTTTTTTCTTAATAATATGTAAGAAAAATGCACTGATGGCATTTGAGAACTACGAACGAGCAGTTCGTCAAAGGATACACTAACATCTTTAATGCATTTGCATTAAGCTTAAGAGAACACAATATATTTGTGCGATGCAGCGGACATTCCAGACGGACTGCCCGATGGCCCGGGCCATCTAGTATTTAGCTCGGGCCCAGTGGACTGGAAGCCTCACCTGGCTGTTGCCCGATCGGGCAATCTATTATGCAGTAATCATGCAGCCCCGCGGGATCCAGTGAATGAGGTGACACGACAGTAAAACTAAACATATCTAATAAACTAGTTTAGGTATTTGAGAGGTATTAAAATACCCCCTACCGTGTGATATTTCTAACTGAAGTGTGTCGTTTTTTTCCGCTCACTGCGCATGTGATCACTGCAGAGCTGCGTGTCCGACTCGTCAGCAGCAGCTGATCTCTCTCACCCGTCAGATTAGACTTCACCTCGCGCGTCTATGTCCTTATCGACCAGATCCAGCAGTCTAGCTAATGATCAGGACGTACCTGCTTATAAAAGACACCTAAACAATAAGTGTCACTAATGCATACCGGTGAGGCACAAAGTATAGCGCAGCAATTATGCATTTGTTTACATGCCCACCGGAGGCCCGAGGCATTACCAACAGATCAACGCACAATCAACCCAGACAGGACATCTCTTTCTCCACATTACGTGTTAGACATTAGAATTGACTGTTATTGTCTGTCACATACTCTTCTTGTCTGTCACATAAGTGGCGCAACTGAAGCGGTATTGCGCTAAAGGGAAATTATTTTGACCGAAGAGATTTAGATTTGCCGGCTAACGGGAACTCCGACGTCACCATTTTGTGTGCTTCGCGGATGCGCTCGGCTCCTCTCGACTGCTGCTCGGGTCTGCTCGGTCAGCTTCCGGATGAGGAAGCATTCATTCGACTAACTTACAGTAGATAACATTACAAACATTTTTAACAGGGGCCATAATAGTGTAAATAATGTTTGTTTTGGCAGTTATAAGTGAATGTAATGTTTTCTACTTTTTTACATCTGGGAAGGCATTTGCCTTCATCAGATGGAAAGTGTCTTGACCAACAACTTAAGTATTTCTTATAGCTATGCAGGGCATGCAAGCGAGCAAACAAGAGCAAACAAAAAAGTGAAATGAAGAATAAAATTCAAATTGTACAATATAATATTGTGGTGGTTCATCTTATAATTCAGTCTAGAGAATGCACCAGACAGCATCTATAGTAAGACCTGGAAAAATCTAAATGTTCTAGGGGGAGGCCCCCCAAACCCTTCGTGCCATTTCGTCCGCGCACATTTTTCAGGGCAATCTCTATTGGGCTCAGGGCCATCTGTAAATTAGCTTAGATGGCCCACAGGGCCATCTCCCAAAATCCTTAATGTCATGCACTGGTATGTATTGAATTTGTTTGGGTCTTATGATCCATTGATTTGATATACCAAAAATGGATTACATTTGCAATAAGAGTGAAGAAAAAAATCTACAATTTTTCCACCAGATTCCATGAAAAGGCTATCACGTGGATTTTGAAAAATGTGAAAGATAACGGCACGTTCTTGGAGGTAATAATGCTATCCATTACCACGTACATCGGAAAAAACACAACATCAGAAGTTGAGTGCAGACCTTAAAACAGTCAACAAATCAGGTTCATGTATCAAATTGCATCATATACAATACATTTTTGAAGGACACCACATAAAGTCGAGTCAGGGCAGACAATCAGCAAAGTTAGTCCTTCATGTGAATGATAACACATCGTTTAAACCACCAATGATGTAATTCAAACCAAAAGTCTTATCTGAGAGATATAAATGCTCTCTCTGCTGCCGTGGTTTTGTAACGTACTGTGCAGCTGCTTCCATTATTATCTGCATATTTACATCTGAGTGACCCAATTCCTTCGCTTTACTACATCCATCCACAGTTGATGCATTTATCCATGTTTCCATCCGGATTAGAAGTGTGAGGTTTTAGCATTTCAAAGTGCTGCTGTGGGGTAAACATTGCCCTCTTTGTCGCCAGCCGAACAAAGGCAGCGGTGATGTAATGCCAGGAGAAAGAAAGAAGGGGGGGGGGGGTTTGTGTCTGCTGAACCCTCAACGCTTCAATCCTCCCCTCTGCTTTAACTGCAGCACACATAGCCGGTCTTGTTACCTCTAGTACAATCCCATTTTATTGTATTTAATGCACAAGGAGGACTGTGAATTATTCTCTTGGTTACTTGCGTTATAAAATGCACATGTTCTTCCCTCTAGCGCTTCAATCTTCTCGCTTGTTTGTCAAACACTACAGAGCCCAATTTAATTTACTGTTCAAGAAGAAACATATATTCACATTTCAGAGGCTGGAGCCACAGAGTTAAATATTTGATCTTAACCAATGATTTTAAATGATTCATAGATTATGAAATCCCTTCTCAGCTCAGGAAGCACAATATTTGTTATAGGTTAAAATAGAATTTTGAATGAAGTATTGTGAAGCTACAGAGATATATTGTTGATTTGTATACATTTACTATTTTTGACTTAATTGTGTTTTTCTACACGTGGCTGATAATGTCTTCTATAACAACATTTGTTTCCCCTATTTGTGATCATTAATGCATTTGTATGTATCTATCTACATCACTTCAGCAACCTCCTGCATGTTAGCAAGATGGCTGCAGCACAAAGAGGTTACACTCAGAAATGTAGCAACCACTTATCAGCAGAGTGGAGAGGAGCAGTGTGAAAGTGTGCGTGTGTCTTTGTGTGCATGTGTGTGTTGCAGGAACAGCTGTGAGCTCATTGTGTAGACGGTCTCAGAACAGAGGGAAGCTCTGAGACAAAACAAGATGTACGTTTGAGGTTTTTCTGAGATCTCACAGCGTTGTGTTTATATCTGAGCAGAGTTTCACCTTTCTATGTGGTTTGAAGACCAGATGTATAGTGATGTGAGCTAAATGTGATGGTGCAGTGTGTTCATTTTCACAGTTTAGATGCAACAAAATGCCCAAAAGACATCCAAAAATGATGCATGTGTCACTGGTGCTTTATTTGTCCTGATGAAGAACATGCTTGTAGCAGCGATGTGGTGGATGGTATAATCTCAAATGTGTTCAAATGAAATGTTGCTGCAGCTGGAGAACTGGGTCATGTGTAATACAGCTTTGATCTTAACCCTTTGATAGCCACATTCAGAATGCTTCTAGAAAACACCTGAAACAAAATCAGCTGCTCTGTTTTAAATTGGACACAACCCATAATGTTCATTGTTTTGCCCTCTAATATTCTCCCTTGATATTATTTGAATGATATAAAGGCAGTATTTTAATGTTTAATTGGCAGTGTTTATGTTTGTGCATGTCAGTAATTGTTATTATTTTAAGATTAGGATAAAATACAGATGGATATAAATCATTTTAGAGCCGTAACTAACAGTTTGTTCTCCTTATAAACCAAACTGTTGAATATTTTCTCAATTAATTGGGTTATAAAATGGTTGTTTTCCCCAATCCTCTCAATCGTCCTGTTTTTCTTCGACAAACGGTACAGAGCCCAAAGATTTATGATTTAATATCAAAGAAGAAAATAATAACATCTTAAAAGCTGGCACCTCAGAGTTTAAATAATTTGTATGTCAGCAAACAATTTCAAATAGTACATTTATAAATAAATAGTTTTGAATTGTTTGAAATCAAAGTGTATCAGAGTCTCTCCCGTCTTCATCCTCCCTGTTTGTGTTTGTGTTTCAGGGACGGGCAGCGGCTCCCTCTCCCACGCCATCCTGAGAACCATCGCCCCCACAGGACACCTGCACACCGTGGAGTTCCACCAGCAGCGATCGGAGAAGGTGTTGGAGGAGTTCAAGGAGCACCGTGTGGATCACATGGTCACCGTCAGGAACCAGGACGCGTGCAAAGACGGGTTCGGAGTGACGGGGGTGGCGGACGCCGTCTTCCTGGACATCCCCAGCCCCTGGGAGGCCGTGAGACACGCCAAGGCTGCGTTGAAGAAACACGGTAAGGCTCGTACACGGCATGTGTACTTTATACGAGTACTCAAACAATGGAGTCTTTCAAGATCAAACTGACTTCCTCCTTTTCCTGAGTTTGTGTTTTATACCAAGAAAGAAAAGTGTTTCTTGGAGCAGAGAAAACGCCCAATTTACAAACAAATTAAACATAACATTTTGATTTAAATGGTATGTAAATTATTCTATATGAATAAATAATTACTTGCAATCTCAGGGTGTCCGCAGGGTCTTAAAAAGTATTAAAAGTTGATAAATCAATTTAGCGAAAATTAAGGCTATTAAAAAGTATTAAACGGCATTTTCCAAGGTATTAAGAAGTCCCACAGCAACGACAACATGAAACACCCTTTAATTTACTGAAACGACATGTCGGGAAACCCCCCAAGGCGGCCCCATGAATAGCGCGCCGTAAAATGCTGTGGACACGCCGTCCGCCGGGTACTCAATGCGCTATATCTGTGTGGTTAACAGTAGCTATCGTCTCAGTGGTACAGCCAAATATTGTCCATTAACTGAAGAGAGGCCATGTTATTAATCTTCTCTACGCGCAGTCCGGTTTATGAATTACTTTCCAGATAGAGGAACAATCCATATCGTAACTATCACTTGTCATCTGTGAAATTTTGTTTAACTAGTGCTTGAGTAAAAGAGACATATTCGTCATAAATTTATATTTATTATGAATGGATTGTTAAGGTGTGTACCACTGATCGAGGCCAGAGATATAGGAGGGGGGTCCCACGTGTGTAGTGATAGTAAGATCCACTCGTACACGAGCACGAGACTATCACTAAACCAAAGCTCATATTAGCGGCCGGTTAATCGACCCCCTTCTCTTTTTCAAGTTGGAGACTCGACCATAAAGACTAAGCAGTACCTTACACGGGGCTCAGTTAAATTCATAGCGAGCGACGAGTCAACGTCAGTCGCTGATCATGTTGTCTTTCAATCCATCATCTGGCTACCTACCAAGAGACTTTTCGAGACTTTATGATATAGGTTAGTAGGGAATAAAAAGAAGTACCATGTCTACTTCCGGTAACAATCTTCACATCTTTATACCACCCTCTGTAACAGTTATTTCTTGACAACATTTCTCACGTTTTGGTCCTAATTGTTAATAATATAATCAAAAATGTACTCTCACCCACGCTTATCCTCCCTACGAACCCACTAATAACGACATAGCATCGATACGTAATCCAAGAGAGGTACCCTATACGTTACGCAAATGTAAGATACACAACACAGACAGTCAAAAGTACACAGTACCAATTATGTGATGTGTCTGCTGTTGGAAAGGAACATATTAACGCCAGCAAGCGGTATCATACAGTTGTACGTTATAGGTCCAATTTTTCAATAAATTATCTAGCTATTGAGAGACTTTTCATCATGTAACTGCCATCGAACTGCTCTGTGCTGACACCCACTCGGAAAAGTTATTTCCAAGACTATTCTTCAGTTAACCGCCTCTCTGCTCACTCACTAATTCTTTCCTATTCTTCTCTTCTTACCGTCCTCACTTGGGTAGAAATTACCTTAGTGTGTGTCACGGTACTAACGGTGCTCTTGTGATAGCTTGCTTCGCGGCGCATTAAAAGAGTTCCTTATGGAGTTGGATACTCTCGTCTTACCTTTTTATTCTTTTATGTAACACTAAATGTTCTGTAATACCAATCATATCATACCAGGGTATGTTTGTTAAAGACCGAGTCTGATTAATAAGAATTCCGATAGACAGGAGTGAACAATGACATAATTACCGTTGTACAAACTGTAGCAATAGTCATGTCTACAGTGTGAAGTTTGTCAGGTGAGTTTGATATACGTGTTCTCCATTCCTCATGTTAAATCTGACTGTCGACTCTGACTAGACGTTTTATTCCACGTACACACTTTTAGTGGACACCATCTAATATCTACCTATTTCATGATACTATTTAGGACTGCCCCCAGGGTGTTCAGGGTGGCACGCCAGTTAATTCTGCCACTGGCAGCTGCCCCCTTGCATCGTCTTACGCTCTCGACCCGTAGTTCCTTGTAGGCAGTTTTGAATCGGCGTCAGTTAGCGGTTCAGGGGAGAAAGAACTGTCGGTCGTCGTCGTCCTCTGCACCCCTCTCCCTCCGCCCCGATAAAGTAGCAATAGTCTTTTACTAGTATATCCCGAATGTGTGCTCGGAAAACCTGGGGTCTCGCAACTCATACGCCAGATGGTTGGAAGCCTGCTGCAATAGAAATGCATCAGCAAATCACGGGGGGGGGGGGGAGGGGGTGTTCTCGCCCTCGTTTCGTTGCTTTGAT